AACCCCCTACTGTGTGCAGTTGGGGAGGTACCAAAAGATGTGTTTTCTAAATATGGGGTAGTCTCTTCTACTTGGCAGAAAAAATAGTGCCTTTTCGTTTTTATTTTTTAGAAATGGGAAGCGCTTCGGATGGAGTTGCATTTTTTTTTGATTTATTTTTTTGTTTTCCTTTTTTTTTTTTTCTTTCACCCTTCATGCGTCGATCGGGGAGAGTAACTTCCGATGGGAAGAAGTCGGCCTCTTCCACATGAGCAGGCGCAAGTTACACACCGCGGGTAAGGTTCCACGTGTTTTTTTTTTTTTTTTTTTTTTTTCCTCTCTCTCTCTTTTGCATCTGTCTTAAGGCATGCCTGACAGATCTTCATCGCTCTTCCGCTCGGAAGTAACCCCAATAGGGTAAGTTCCCTCCACCGGCGCGCAAAGTGGATCAAGAATTAACACAAGAATGAAGCGATGCTTCCTACCCGTGTGCCGAGTGAATACCCACACACACATACACCCGACGGATGGGTACGTAAAAGTAGAAACAAAAGCAGACCAGTGGCCACACGCAAAGAAGGGGGACTTCCCCCGCGAGATGATCTAACCATTTGAAAACCCTTTCGAATAACCTCATCTTAACTGGTTGGTCTTGGAGCTACACATTTCACACAGGTGGACTGACTCGTACGCAAGGGAGCGAGGAGGACGCATCGGCGTTTGCCTTCGTACTAGAATGGAAGCGGCGCTCGAATTAGTACTCTCACCAGCGACGGCATCGGTACACCCCACTGGCATTCGTGTCCGCGCTGTCCAAAAAAGTACACTCCTTGCATATATAAATGGACGAGAAAAAAAAAAAAAATCCCATGTGGGGGATGACTCATGCACTCTCTCCCTCACTCGAGAAAACGAATGTGACAAGAATTATTTCAAAATGGAAAAAAAAAAAAAAAAAAAAGTGAAGAATAACACAAAATGATCGCCAAGTATATGGGCCAAACAACGGTCGGGGAAAAAAGGCATACAAAAAAAAAAAAAATCTGGAGTAAACCATTTGGCCTATTCCTCTTCTCCTTGTGCGTATCTACACCACTGACATGGGCGTTGGTGCTACGCTAGGACTCGTTAACTGTTGTACTCAATCGTCCATGCTTCAAAGATGGGGAGGAGCCTTTCCAGCTATCCGAAACTCAACGGCGGGTGCACGTCTTTTTCACACTCTTTTGCAACTGGGTGGACAAGTAAAAAGAAAAAAAAAAGGGGAGCGGACTCCGGGATACATAGTAGGGTATATCCCTCGCGCTTGTTTCACTCTACAGCATGGAGCCCACAAGCACGTGGTCTCCTCTCACACCTTCAAAGATTATTCACGTGGGGAGGTACAAAAAGACTCGGCTGTAAATTCGGACTATAGGGTTTTCCCGATTCGCACGTAATTCTCCCTTGAGGAGTTTCTTTTTTTTTTGTTTTTTTCTTCTTTTTCCCCCTTCTCGTGCGCTTCACCCGGGGGGGGAAGAAGATGAACCGATCGGGTGGTCGCCACCCCCCTCCTCAGTGGTGTACCTAATGGGAGTTTTTTCTTCCCCAGTTTGCTGAGCCTCACAAGGAGTTCGTTCCTCCCGTTGGTCACCGTCTGGTACTCCCCCAAGGGATTTTTCATCTTTTGCAACTCCACTAGGGAGATTTGCCTCTTCTGTGGGTGCTTCCTCTTTTGTAGGTACTTCCCCTCTTGTTGGTGCTTCCTCTCCTGTGGATACTTCCTCCTTCGTGAAGGAAATCTCCTTCGAGTGAGAGAGTACGTTCTTGTCAGTGGAAATATCCTTCAAAGGGGCGCCGCTATAAGGCAGAGGGATAACCGGGTCGTCAATCGAGTCATTATTCTCGTACATAATATCTTCCTTGTGGAAACTAAAAAGATTCTTGTTCTCTACTTCCTCCGTTTTTTCGTCTTCTAAATGGAAAGGGGCATACTTGGGAATGTTAAAGGTGCTGACACTAACGTCCTGTAGGTTTAAAATATTAATTTCTTCGTTTTTGTAGATAAAGGAGTTCTCATTAATGACTGCAGTGGGGTTTTTTATCCAAATGTGTTCCAAAGCCTCATTTGCTGATATTCTCTTCTCAACGTTAAGTTCTAGCAACTTGGAAATGAGGTCTTTAGCTGATGAGGAGATGCTTTTCCATATGTGGTCCTTAAAACTGAGGACATAATTTTTCTGTATATTCATTTCGGTGTTTTTATTAATCGGGAAGGGAAGCTTCCCACTGAGAAGAAGATACAGTATGATCCCGATGGACCACGCATCGACCTTGTGATTGTAACCTTGCAGAGTGATGACTTCCGGAGCTACATAGGCAAGTGTGCCACAGGGCTCCTTTAACAATTCGTTTGGAGCACACAAGGTGGATAAGCCAAAATCGGTTAACTTTATTTGTGCATCTCTGGATTTATCTGTAAGTAGGATGTTCTCTGGTTTTATGTCCCTATGTATGATTCCACATCGATGCAGATATGCCACGGTCTTGATTAGCTGTGTCACAATTTTATTGGCGTGAATCTCGCTGAGTCTCGTCTCGGTTAGCAAAAAATCGTATAACTCTCCTCCTTTTACTAACTCCATCGAGATGTATAACGTCTCCTTCGTGTTAATGATTTCTTTCAAATAAATGACATTCGGGTGTCGGAGGAGTCTCAAAATGGAGATCTCACTACGAAGTAGCTCCTTCTCGTAAATCGAAACGGATCTTTTATCAATCACTTTAATGGCAAACTCCGTGTTTGTCTGTTTGTTGATTCCTCGGTACACGGTGGAAAACTTTCCTTGTCCTAACTGCTCATGTAATTCATACAGATTGTACAAGGTATTCTGCTTCGTCGTGGAATACAAGGCCTGTAACCACTCCTCTCTCTCTTCATAAGTATTAACGTAGAGGTCTCTCCTCTGCACTTGATTTGTTCCCTTGTGACATATGGAAAATCCGAACTTACTGATGTTGTCATTTTTTGAGATCACTTCTACGTAACATCCTTCCAAGAACATGAATCCACGTGGCTTCAGATTCTTCTGCTTGTCGTAATAATACAACAGATTATCAAACAAGATGTAGTACCTTGCCTTGAACTGATGCAGGTGCTTCCCTATCTTGTAAAGGATTCCTTCCTTTAACGAATTTTTTTTAATCATGTCTAGACATTTCTGGAAATCAAAGTTGCAGTAAATACATTTGTAAAAATAGCAGTGCTCGCATTCGCAATATTCACACTCCATGGCGATTTTGTCTTCGTTCACGCAGAATCTGGGATACCGTCCGTGGCAGTTGGGGCACATCAGGAAGGGCCCCTTGCAGTTCGGGCACGAGTACAGGTTAACGTCCTTCACGTGCTTCTTCTTCTTCCCCTCGTGGGTGTGGCGATCAGCGGCGGGGGGCGCGGCGGGAGACGCGGCGACGGGTACTTCGACTGACGGGGAGGTAGGCACTTCCGACGACATTTCGGCTGACGCGGAGGCAGGCACTTCCGACGACATTTCGGCTGACGCGGAGGCAGGCACTTCCGACGACATTTCGGCTGACGCGGAGGCAAGAACTTCCGACGACATTTCGGCTGACACTTCGGATGGCATTTCCACTGCTACGGGTTCCAGGACTTCCCCCCTCACCGCTTCCTCCTTCACCTCTGCCTTCCTCCCCGACAGCCCCAACCTTCCGAGAAGGTCCACCTTTTCCAAATTCTGGGTCTCCACGCCGGAGGGGCTCCTCTCGATTGCGTTATTCTGTCGCTGTTGCGCTAGTCCCTCCTTCTGCTCGTTCACCCCCTCGACGCTTAAGCCGGTATTGACGTGGGGCTTCTTTTTCTTCTTCCCGCAGTGCGCATTGTTAGAATAATTTCTTGTCTTCTCGATGTTCCTCTTGGCCTTCTTGTACTTATCCTTGCAGTTGCCATTTCGCTCCTTCCATACCTCCTTAATGTTGAAGGTACTTTGGGACGCCTTAATAAACTCCACAATCTCTTTGGAGAAAATATCGTTCAGGGAGTTAGTCAGCAGATTGAAGTCGCATTCGTAGTTTGGCTTATTCTTTAGGTGTTCCAGGGCCATGATCATTTTTTCTTCGCGTTTCGGTGTACCTTCTGCGCAGCTCTGGCCGCCGTCCTGATCGAGCTCCTTGGCGCTATCCTTGACGATTTCGTTGATGATATCCTTGGAGCCATCCTTACTGCCTCCCTTTCCGATGCTCACCTCGTGCATGCCCTTCTGCCTCAGCACAGCGTTGAAACACTCTGCAATTTTCTTCTTCTCATCAAGCCTCTTCTTCTCCTCCGCCTCCTTCTGCTCCTCACTTTTCTTCTCAACAGCGTGAGAGTTGCCATTCGCGTCGCTAACTCTGGTGGAGGACTCCTTCTGCTCACACGGTTGGTCAACGCTCGTGTGTTCTTTCCTCTGTTTGGGGTTTTCTGACTGCCTCGAAGTGGCGGGCTCCAAAGCGGCATCTACCCCATCCATGGCGCCCGTCCGATTCGCCGCGTTTTCACTGGAGGGGATAATGACTTCCCTTTTTTCGTGCCCCTCCGCAGGGGGCCTTCCCGTGACGAGATCACACAGTTCATCCCGCTCGTCATCGCCCCCTTGCGCATTGGCGTGTTCCTCTTGACTTCGCGGAGGCGTCATTTTTACCACGTCACTGATGCCAGTCCCCGCCTCGGTAGCAGCTGCACCCCACGTTGCTTCTTCTCCCCCGGGTAGAGAAAAATTGACCAACTTGCTGCCATTCTCGACCTTGGCGTTTTTCTTGCTCGCCACGGGATCGCTTTTGTCCTTATCGGAATCTGCGCCGGATACTTGTGAGTTCGGCTGGTGGGGGGGGGCTCCCCTCTCGTGGCCGCTTGCCTGTTCCCCCCTGAGGAAGTTCACGCACAGATTGTCATTCAAGCAGTCATAATCAGGCGCCTGAATAATGAATAGCTGCCTGATCTTAAAATACACCTCTTCCGTAATTACTTCCTCATTTTGGTCAATCTGTTTGCTCTTAAAATTTTCTGACTTTATTACAAATTTGCTAATATAGTCCCTCCCGTAGAGAACATTCCCTTGAAGTCCCCAAATGTCTTCATGGAGACAGCTAAAGAATACATAGAGAAAGAAGTCATACTTATATATGACACTCTTAAACTGTATGGGGGTTATTTTATCATTGTCCCAAAATTCACATTCTTCCAGCATCCGATCTACTATTTCCTCGACGTCCACATTTTTTTCCTCCATGTCATAATTCTCTTCATCGTTGAGAATATTCCTTGCCGTTTTGGATGGGAGACAGTATTCCTGGAGAAATAGTTTCCTTTTGATTTCTTTTTTCTTTTCCTTTTTGTAAATGTTCATATCACTTCGGTTATTGAAACATGTTCGTTTCTTTCCTTTTTTTATCATTACTCCTCCTGCTGCTTCTGTTTCGTTGTTCGGTGTTTTGTTTTGTTCTTCCGATTGGGCATCTTCATCTGCACTCTCTGTTCCGTTGCCTTCTGCGCCTCTGTCTTCCGCGCATCCGGTTTCCTCCTGGCCCAACTCATTCTTTCGTTGTGGGGTGTTCTTTTCTCGGCCACTGTCCGCTGCAAACCTGTCCGCTGTTAACCTGTCCGCTGCAAACCTGTCCGCTGTTAACCTATCCGCCGCTAACCTGTCCGCTGCTAACCTATCCGCCGCTAACCTGTCCGTTGCTAACCTGTCCGCTGCTAACTTGTCCGCTGCTAACTTGTCTGCGTCTAATCTGTCCTCTGCTAACCCGTCTGGGCATCCCCTCCTCTTCCTCCTCCTACGCTGCTTATTTTTGATGAGGTAACCGTAGATGCTGATGAAGGAGTCTGTCGTGCTACTGGAGTACGTGTCACCTCCATTGTGGTGTTCCTTGTTGGAGTTAAAACTCTCCAGATCTTCGCTGCCGAGAAATGAATTCGTATCGTTACTCGTGCAGCTATCGCTTGTTGACGACATGAATCCGTTATGATTATTCCCATTTCTGAAATAGGGTAAGTATCTGGAGTGTTTCTTTTTTGTCCTGCTTCGAAGACTTTTTCTTTTACTAACATTTGATTGGTCCATTTCTTCATGGATGAACCCATTGGATGTGCTGCTAGAGGATGTGTTGCTGTTGTCATCGCTTTCGCTCTTGAAAATGGAATCCCTCTTTGGAGACTTATTCTTCTCCTTTTCTTTCTTACATTTTTTGTTTGCCCCCTTGAACGAGTTGCTTTGCTGATATCTTTCGTTTGTGATTCCTTTGATGCACCTCTTCAGCTGGTTCTTCTTCTCCTTCCTGATTTTCTTCGCTAGCTCGCGCATGTTCAGCAGCTTGTTGCGATTCCGCATCCGCCTCTGCTGCTCGAGGCATTTGCTGCAGTTGGTCACGCCGTTCGCTCCGTTCGCCCCGTTGGCAGCAGCATCGTTGGTACCTACCCCGGTGCCGCTTCCACCCATGCCACCCACTCCAGATGCACTCACGTGTCCCTCATCGCAGTAAGCCTCATCGTTATCATTCAAGTCTTCCTCGTTGTCCTCCTCACCGGCCTCATTCTCGCTATACGCGTCGTCATTGTAGCTGTTGCTATAGTTGTCGTCCTCATCGGCATCCTGGTCGGCATTGCTGTATCCATAAATGGCCCCATAGTGGTAGCTCGCAGGGTACTCTCCTCCATTGTATCCATCATTACACTCCTCATTGTCCACTCCTTCCTCATCGTCATAGTCTTCCCCTTCCACTGTGTTATAAAAATTCTCATTCGAGTTATACTCTCCATGGTAAAAGTTCTTCTTTCTTTTATTTTTTTTATTAAAGAAAACACTTTTCAGCTTATCAATGTATGGAATGTTGGACAACATCGCCACCATCTCAGACTTCTGTATGTATCCATCGGAGTTTAAATCGAAAATATCAAATAGGACACTTATCTTGTCGCTTTTAGTTCCTCTGCAGCAGATGGCAATACCGATTATAAATTCCTCGAAATCTATGTAGCCTGTATTTTTGAAGTTAAATTTTAGGAACAATCGTTCGCCCCATAATCCTGGCAAGGGGAAAAACTGGAGGAAGGTCTCCTTGTCTATCTGGCCCGATGCCGACCTGCTTCCTAGCTCCTTGAAGATCTGCGTAACGGGGTGTGGAAGCACACGTGGGAAGTGATTCGATTGGGAAAAAATCTCTACGTTGTGTTGAAGCACACGTGGGATGTAATTACATGGGGAAAAAATTTCTATGTGGTGTGGATGCGCACAAATATGATTGCATGTGACAAGGGCATGTAGAGTGGGACGCTCTTGCCTCACCGGCTGCCGCTCCTCCTCCTTACCTTCTTCAGAACCTCCAACTCATCCGTTTCGAATTTTTTGCTACATATTTTAAAATTCCTCTTCTGATCTTCTTTCTCCCTGTCCTTCTCCGTTTGGAGCCCCATTTAGGAGGGCGGCGCTTGGGCGAAAAACTTGGACGGCCTCGAAAGGCAAATTGTTCAAAATCCACGACGACCAGGGGGAAGAGATGGGCATATATATATCAGGGGTGGTGCTGGAACTTCTCTCAGGAAGTGATCTTACACTGGATCTTACACACGATCTTACACTAGATCTTACACTCGATCTCACACTCGATCTCACACTCGATCTTACACACTATGTTACACACTATGTTACACTCGATGATGTATTGTTGACGTCAAAATTACAGACAAAAAAAAAATGAAATAAAAAAAATAAAAAAAAATAACATTAGCAGCAAATGAAAGGAATCAATGCGTGCTACTTTTATGTTTAAAAATTAACTTCAGCTCAACATTACGTAATGACACAGGTGCGTGTGACTGGTGGGCACAACACCTGGTCGATCCCTTTGGAGGGTTCGTGGGAGCGTCCCAAATGGATGTTATACGCTGTGCGCAGGGGAAGAGCACGTATCTGCGCACAGTGTTGTGGTGCCTGCGCAGATACTCATTCGATCACTATATCACTCGATCGATCACTCACAATCACACTCACGTGTACGAATTGACAAAGTGGATGCGTAACTTCACAGACGTGTATCTGCGCGCGGCATATTATGAACAAACGATGCCAGGGGTACGTACGTGTTAGTCCGCCGCACTGTAGAAACAAATATGTAAGCTCTCCCTTCGCTTGCCAGTCCTTTGGACGGCAATTCCGCTTCGATGGTATCACTTACAGGGGAATATATGCAAATAGGTAAGCGGGGATGCTTCCATGGAGCTATCCACTCACAACGTCACGCACAGATGCAGGCACAACGGTCTGATAGTAGAGCCCCCACTAGCTCTAGCAAACTGCGAGGAAAAAGGATCAGTGGGGGGAAAAAAACAACCAAAATATTACGAATGGTGAAGTACAAATAAATACTACAGCTTTTTTGTTGCGAGGCGAGCACATCAACATGTATACATTTAAGTATATGCAGAGACAAAGGAACAATGGCGTTAATTTATTTCATACAAAATGGGAGAGATGGTCACGGTTACATTTTGTCCTACACTCCCATGTATGTTTATGTAGCTACTTCTCCTGTGAGGGTGCGTACATATGCACATGCGCATGCACCAGGAGCTCCGCGTCCTTTGTGTCTACTTTTGAAGTATGAATTCAGACAAAGGCGCATTAAGTTGCACAGACAAGGTGACACAGGGGAGGGGTTATTAACATGGATAAAGGCAACGAACCACAATTATGCAGGGTCGGTGGAAACAACAATGGAGTGCCAAGCGAGTTGGGACGACGCAATTGGAGTTTTACTCCGCGTCGTCAGTTCGGTATATAATGTGTACATGTAAAGTGTATATATGTATTTATGTATGTATATATATATGTATTTTTTTTTTTTTCAAAAAAATGTTCATATGTGCCTTTCACTTGGCTCTTTCCTTCCTCCTTTTCCTCTTCCTCGTTATCTCCTTTTTTTTCCTTTTCGCTTTAGCAGCGCGTGGCAAAAACGAGTGCGCCTTTATTCATTTTTGCTTTGCATTTCGGGTTTTGCGCTTCTCTTGCTATTTTTCCGTTTTACGCAATACGGTCGCGGCCTTCTCTTTCTCGTTAGAACCATACGCCAAAGGGAATTTTGACAAATTAAAAAAAAAAAAAAGGCGTATAAATGGGATATCGCCAATTTGGCATAAAGTGGGGAAGAAAAAATTAAGCTGTTGTCAATTATGTGCTGAAGTAAAGGGAGGATACATAAATGCAGGGTTGCATATACAATACGTCGTACAATCCGTGCAACCCCTTTGGCGGCAAAAATTCACATTACGTAGCTATCTCTACTTAAAATGAATGACTCTTTTTTTTTTTTTTTTTTATGGAGTTTCACTCTTGTTGCCCAGGCTGGAGTGCAGTGATGTGACCTCAGCTCACTGCAACCTCTGCCTCCTGGAATGAATTCCTTCGTTTGGTCGTGTCTACCAAAAATGCAACGCGCAAGGGGCCGCCTTTATGTCTCCCCGAGTCAACACGAGATGCATGCTTACGCACGACGCAATATGCATGTACAAATGCTTCCTCGCTAGAATAACGCGCCTCCTCACATTTGTGCATTTAGGGTGGTACGCGAAGAGAAGTGGGTTTATGAATTTGTGCATGTGAAGCGGTCTGCCCGCGGGGGGTCCCTCTCACAAAAAAGGGGGGGCATTCAAAAGGGATAGACGCACGCATAAATGGAAGGATAAATAAGAATAATGGGGGGCATGGGGGAAAATCTTATTCTTCTGCTGAAGGGAGGGATTCGGGCGGGGCCACGCATGCTTGTGCATGCACATGTAGGTGCAGCCCAGCGATGTGGTGGATGCTAATTGGGCTATGCGCTGTGATCGATGCGATGGGGCGAAGTCAACTTTACTCAACCGTTACATTTATGTACCCCTCGCGCTTCCGCATTTCTGCGTGAGGAGAGAAACTGTACACGTAAAAAGAGCGCGCTGTAGGATTGCTCATATGTACGTTGGGCAAGTGTTCACTCTTGCCCTGTTGGTTTCTTCATAAGATACGCTACTAGGCGCGATTCCATATGCAACAAATTTACACATAAAAAAAAACGCTTGTCCCATGCTTCTCGCCACAGAGGGAGAGAATGTCCAACCAACGCAACAATTATGTAATGAACAGGAGGGGAGGTAACGAAAAAACAGAAGAATACAATTGTACGTTGACCAAACTGCATTCACGATAATGCTCCTTTTTTTTTTCTCCCAAAGGTAGTTACTTTTTTAAGTACGTATCATACAAGTACCTCCCATTATGAAGGAACGAGATCCTCGTATATTTAGGAGTTTTTATTTAATGACATGCCTTCTGTGGGGGGCATCAGTTGCCAATTCCGCAACTGTAAGGAGCGGTTCGCTTCCGTACATGCACATAAATCGGTACAAGCGAGTATAGGTATGTACAAGCATAGGGGCACGTAGAGGCATAGGCACCTATATACATGACGTCGCGCTTATGAGAATGTGTTCAGAAGCTCGCGATGCATGGCCTGTAGTTAAATTCTTTATGGGTACAGGATCTACAGCAGCGTTCAATGCGCCTTACAATTATTATTTCTGTTCCCCTCGAGGATTTACGTGTCATCTTTTTTGTTTAGCAAAAATGGTTACGTAGCATATTTGAGGTTAAAAGAAGGGGCACCAAATGAGCACAAAGTGGGCGCAAAAATTGGTGCAAAATGGGTGCAAAAATGCGTACAAAACTGTCGCAAAATGGGCACAAAAATGCGTACAGGGTGTCGGCAAAATGGTCACAAAAATGCGTACAGGGTGTCGGCAAAATGGGCACAAAAATATGCGTACAAAACTGTCGCATTGGGCACAGAAATGCGTACAAAACTGTCGCAAATTGGGCACAAGAGACTGCACCATGAAGGTTCCGAACGGGGAGGAAAAAAGGGTGCAGAAAAAAGAAAACGCGTAAATCGCGAGAAAATGACCTAAAAATGAAGATCCCTTTTTTTGGCCTTCCTGTATCATTCTTATCCTACCCTCGACATACCCGAGATGCTAAATGTAGAGATGTTCGTGTGTTCGTATCGTACGGCATGTTCTCCTCCCTCTCGCATGAGCGATAAATAAATGACAACACTGTTACTTGTGGAAGCCCCACCGATACGCGTCCTTCTCTATCGGGTGTAAAGCAATACATCATACATGTTTCTACATTCCAAGTACATAATCATGTCGAAGCTCCCGTGTTCCATACAAATTGCGCGTACCTATTTGTACTTATTGTACTTATTTCCCATTGCCCAATCGAGCATGAATTTTTTTTTTTTCACGCGCAACGGCCGACAATAGATCGAGTTGGAACTTGCATCAAAATGGGAAATGCATGAGATAGTGGCAAAAAAAAAAAAAAGTCGTTATTGTGCTACTTCCTCTATCTGCACGTGGAGGGGCGACAATCACGCAGAGGTGAAAATTGTAAAGAGAGAAAAACACCCAGGGTGGGAACCCTAACCGGCGTTAAACAGTCTACTATTATGTAATTTCCCCCGCCTCTCAATCCCACACAGTACAATGGATCCGCTCACTTGCGATTTTTTCTAAAAAGGATGTAAACGAGTGGGGGGTCTTATGATTGATCCGATTTTATTCTGTCCCATGGGAATAATGCATTCTTTACGCCAAATTGTCGAGGAAAAGTTGGGACATGACGAATCTGTGCCGCTGGAATGGGGCACGCAAGGGGGCTATATACCTTTGTGAAGGCGGAGTTGTGCATATAGGGAAGCACTCCTGTTTAGGCATCCCGCCCATAAATATGAACCGTGCACAGGTGCCCATATGTATATACTTACGCACTTCCTACTAACCAGGCGATGCAGACATGAATTTCTCCGGAGTGTTATTTCCCTCATAAAATTTTGCAAAACGGGAAGATTTAAAAGAATTACCAATGTAACGGAAAAGAGGTGGGATTGACTTGGGAGGACGCACACATGGCTATGTGAAACGTTCCATTCGTCGTTTATATAACTACATACGTCCTACCCCCACCATGAGTGCCTGCATTCAGTGTTTATGCCCTTCTGTGCCCAGAAGAATGGGAAAGTTCTTCTCCACCGTTTTGGCAGCCACCATAATATGCAGCAGATAGAGCGTACATTTTTGGATGAAGAAGTCAGAATTTTTTATTTTTATTTTATTTTTTCAAATAGCTTGCAGTTACCAAAATGGCTAGCAAAACGGAAACAGAAAAGAGGGGGGGAAATGCAACTCTTTTTATATGCTGCAGGGTTCCACTAACATTGGGAGTCCTCACAATTTATGGCACCACATTTTATTATCGCCACTTTAATTTAGACCTTTTGCAAAAGGAGAAATGCAACAGTTTCGCTGCGCCCCGTTAACGAGTGCCTGCTGGGATAGAAGACAATCAATTTTTTAATTCAAAGATTGTCTACATGCATGCGAAGGGGTGGGCATAGGACCAACCACATGATAGCAGAGCAGGATGACTGAACGGAGCCCCTCAAAGAGTATACATTTACGTACTTTCATGCGAATGTCCATAGAACGACCAGGCGTCATTTTACCCTTTCGCCACTTTGCCATTTTGTCAGTTTCCCCTTTTTTTCCCCCTATTTCCCGTACTCACCGCTGTGCCAAGCGAAATGACTATTCATTGCATATACATGGGCGGCCGACAAACGGGAATTATTTTTTATGTGATAAGGGGTAGGACAAAAAAAAAAATTCCGCAACAGAAGACGCAGGGGAGATTAATGTGGGATTGTTTACTCATTATTTAGACTGCCATTCAGGGGCGTAAAAAAAATGGATTGCCAATTTTGACGCAATTGGATGAGCAAAAGCCGAATGGCGGCAATCTGAACGAGGATTACACTCAACTGGAACAACTGCAAAAATTGTGTTGAATGGGGGGAGACGGGGAAGTAACCCCAGGGGAATATTTTTCTTCTCTCGTCGTTTTATATATTCTTATTTACAACGGTAGCCAGTAAAAGGAGGGGCGAGGGAACAAGAAGCGTAAAGAAAAGAAAAACCAAAGCAGGAAGAAAAAAGGGAAGAGGAAAACCCCGTCGCGCCACAAAAATGAATAGCATCACCATTCGCATGTCACAATTTTATTTTTGCTTTTAAAAGCATTAGCAAAGAGAGGGGAACTGCGCGAATTCTTCTTCTCATTTTGGTGGCACAGAAAGAAGGAAAAATGAAGAAAAAGAAGGAAAAGGAGAAGGAAAAGGAGAAGGAAAAGGAGAAGGAAAAGAAGAAAAAAAAGAACAGGAAAAAAAGCAAAAGAAGAAAAGAAGAAGAAAAGAAGGTGAAGGAAAACAAATTCCTTTTCGCTTTTTCTGCCATAGCAAAATTCTTTTCTTTCCTTGTATGATGAGCACATGATTTATACATGCATCGGTAACTCAAATAAATGTATAGTACATTATTTTTACTTATATGGGCTAGCCCCGATGAAAAATTTTTGGCGAATATGAAAATTTTTTGGATGTTCCATAGACCATTAATAATTAAGTGGCATGCGAAAACGCATACATACATGCTACTTCTTGGTTGATGGCTTTTTTTTTTAAAACGTTACATTTCAAATTTCGAGTTTCTTTTTTTTTCCAGCTCATTTGTTCACGTCGTTCCTTGCATTCGTTTCTTCCATTCGTTTCTTCCATTCGTTTTTTCCATTCCTTCCTTTCACTTCATTTCTTTCCCTTCTTTGTCGTCACCTCGCCGCCTCATTTCGGCCCCCCACCCCCCATAACAGGGATGACACGCCCCGTGAGAATCCCTTCCCCGCCTATATTAATTTTGTAGCAACTGCATTTCCTGTACTTCCTATGCTTTTTCTTGTGCATGGGGGATTGGCCCCTTTTTTTTTTGTTGCTTCATTTCATATTGGAGCTTCTGATGCCCGGTTATGCTTGGCACCACGACTGAGCGCCTGCATGTCGTGCGAAGGTTTTCTACAAGCATCCGATTAAGGAGGGGAAGGTACCCTTTCAGGCAGCGCGGGGGGAATAGCATGAGCCACGACGTCTTAGCTCCATCAGGTGCCGTTACATATATATGTATATATATATGTATGCATGGGTGTAGCCAACGGAGGGACGGCAAAGCGTGAACCGTTTAGCAAATCTTTTCCTGTCCATTTGCAAGACAATAATGTGAACAAACATGAAGGAAAGCCAAAACAGGAAGGAGAATGGCGGCGCGCGCGCCTCGAAAAAAAATATGTACAAACAGAAGCAGGTAAAATATATGATTTTGAAAAAACTGAAAAGGAAAATGAAGCAGGGACTGCACAAGTTAGAGGAGCAGCACGAACATTTGGAGAAACTGCTATCAAATTTAAACAGCCTAAAGTTTGAAGAGAGTCATGCGCTGGCGCTGCATAAGATGACGAAGGAGTTAACCAGACAAATCAAACGAGTCAGTGAGGAAAACAATGATGACATAGCAATATTAAAGATGGAAAAGGATTTAATCAAAGCAGATTTTACAAAAAATAAAAACAGTTTGAAAATTTACAATAAGGATGAAGTACAGCTACGAGGAGAAGAAGAAGAAGCAGGGGAAGAAGAAGGAGCAGCAGAAGGAGAAGGTGAAGAAGAAGAGGAAGAAGAAGAACATCAACACCATCACCACCATCAGCAGCATAAGCAGCCGTGGCAGAACGACTATGAGGAGGAGGTAATGGAACAGGAAGAGATTAGCAGAATTGTAAGGCACGATAAAAGGAAGAAGAAAAAAAGGAAAAGTACCAACGCTCATTCATCTCACCACTTTACAAACTCGTTCATTCCTCTACAAATTTTCAGAGACAATTGTCTCTGCATGAACAATAAGTGTCATCACAATGAATTCTCAAGTGACCATGTGCAGGTTAAAAATTGGGTTTTTATGGATCTGTATCGGGCCTTGCTCCGAAATAAATACTATAAAGACACCCACCTGTGTGGCAACATTTTTCGGGAACATGATAACAATGAGATTTACAGACAGGAGATGAGGAGGATGCGGAGGAAGAAGCTCCTCTTAAATTTCCTCAGCTGCAAGAGGAAGAGTCGGAAGCCGGGGCCGAGGCAGGGGTCAGCACAGGGGTCGCCGCTGAATAAGAGCGATTCTGGAGCACAGACCATCGGGGGCAGTTACCCCTGCGCGTGGGACGGTCAGGACGAGGAAAGGGACCAAACCGGTGACGCACTTGGAAAAGGCCCGCTTGGAACAGGCACCCCGAGTAGCTGTAACAATCCGAGAAAAAACCTCCCAGAGTACACACCCCTGTGGAGTTGGTCCAACCCAGTAGACGACCAAAGAAACAGAAACGTCTGCTGGATTAATATGAAGAATGAGATAAATGAGGATGTATCGAAAAATAACACCAGCATTATGACCGTTAATATGCTAACCTTTCTAGTGAGCATAAGTAAAGTTTTTTCCTGCGAACTGATTCAGGAAAGAAGGGAAAAACCAGTGATAAACGATTTTATTATGAATAAGAAATCGAACAAGTTTTATGATTATTTGCCAGCGCAGGAATACGATTTGATGAGCATTCATCATGCCGCGGGAACTGGCCATAGGAGAAGTGCCCCCGCGATGAACACACACGAAATGAGAAGCGCCAATCAGAGCTACCTTGTAAGGGATAACCATATTTGCCTCTACCTTAAGAGGGAGTACGTTCCCCCGTACTTGCTAAATTTGGGGAAGAAAATTAAGTTAATTTTGAATTTTGTCTCGGCGAGTGGGTTGCACAGCGGTTGTGCGTGCCCTCATGGGGGGGAGAAATTCAGAGAGGAGCAGTTCACAGGGGCGCCGCTCACCGGGGAGCCCCTTACTGGAGAGCCTCTGACTGGGGATAGTCCCAGCGGAGGGCTATCCCCCCCCGCGGCGGACCGCAGCGCGAGACTGGAGCACGACGGGGGACTCATCGACAGGTACAGGAGCCTCTTCCTAAAGAGAAAAAAGCGGAAACGGAAAAAAAGTGGAAAACAGAAAAAATCGGAAAGCAGCAGGGGAAGCGGAAGCGGCACGGTCAGGGCCTTTGACGACAACCACCGTTTTAATAACATCTTCTTGAGGGCCCTGTTGAAACGAACCCTCAACGAGAAGAAGAAGTACCACTATTTTTACGTTAACAATGTGGAGTATGATCACATGGGTTACGACGTGGAAGACATAATTACTCACTTAGAAAAAGTTGTAACGAAATGGGAAAGGAACTCGTCCGGGGGTGCATCCTTTTCCCCTTTGTTTCTGCTGAACTATGTGAGCAAGAAGTATGCACTGTATTCCAGCAAGGGGAAAAAAAAGAAGAAAAAAAATAAAAGTAAAGCTTACCATGTGGAGGAGGAAAGGTACTACCCAGACGGAGTGCACCAAGGACTGGGCGAAATTGAGGAGTGCAGCAAAGGGGGGAAAGCAGCAGGTATGAAGGGGGCCTCCCAAGTGAGAAAAAGCAAAGATAAGGGTAAAGGAAAAGTGAAGGGCGAAAGTGAGAAGCAGTACCAAGAGGGATACCCCACCGTGAAGGAGGAATTCATTCCGAACGGATTGAAAGGAGCAGCAACAACTGTGGGTGACGACATGGAGACATACCACTTGACTATCCACAACGACATGCTCAGCTACAGCAGCAGCAACGACGAAGTGACGGTCAAATACTACGTCACGCATATGCACACGAGAGAGTTTAATCTGGAAGACGGAAGCCAAGACATACCAAGAAATATTCATCCCACCGTTTTTTACTATGTGGAAAGAAAAAAACAACTAGAAAAAATGATGAAGGAACATAGCGCTTTGTATAAACACATATTCAGAATGTGGAAAGAAGACATTGAAATCAGTGAGAAAGAAAGAGAAAAGAAGAATATTTTTGCATGGGGGATTTTACCTGTACGTGCATATGACCATCCGAACATCTTCGTTCCGCTACCATATGGATTCAAACACAACAATAAGAATTTAGCGTACAGCTCATTTAGGTTGAAAGGTTCCTTTGCTGATGATGAGGAGGAGGGGGAGGAGGAGGATGACGACGACAATGACGATGACGATGGATACGGTGGGGAGGAGAATGGTAACGTGATGGAGAAAAGGGGAAAGGAGAAGAAGAAAGACTATATGAACATAAAATATGCCAATTTGACGGGCCCGTGTATTACATGGCGTAAAAATTGTATCTCTTTGAACTATTCAAAGAAGAGGAAAAACGCCCAGTTGGTGGAGGCCCTCCCCTACCTCTACTGCATGCAGGGCCCCAAAATGCCACTCTTTTCCCTCGAAAGGAATGTCCTCTACTGCAATGAGAACAACCGCTCCATCGTACCGGATGCCCCGGTCACCTGCAAAGACGGCAGGAGCGACCCATCCACCGGAAGAGACCCCCAGAGTAACCCATCCACGTCCGGAGACGCCCAGAGCAACCCCTTCACCTGCAAAGACGCACAGAGCGAGAAAAACTTCATCTGGGACAAACAGGAGATCAAAACCTTCCTAGACAAGTACATCCTTTATCCAAAAAATTTCGAAAAAATCAGTCAATACTTGGAATTTAAGAGCACAAAACAGTGCGTAGATTTTTACTATTTGACGAAAAACTTTTTCAACTTCAAAGATTTTCTCCTGACTATATCCCTGAGCAGAATGAAGAGAAATAAGAAACATCGATCCGTGGGTAATGACAAGACGAAGAGAAACTCCAAAGACGAAATTGTCGCCCACTTGATGGAAAAGCTGGAGAGAAACTATGATCCAAGTGAATTTGAGCAGTCAAAATTTTTTCACCTTAACTGTATCAATCTGCGGCACTTCTTTCAAAACTATTTCGCAAAAATGTTTAGCGATGTGCAGAGCGGCACCGCAGGGGGAGGACTATCAAAAGCGGCAGGAGGAGGAAGAAAAAGAAGAAGACGAAGTGGACGAAGTGGGGATCCTCCTCGCAAGACCGGTGTGTCTCCCCCTCTGAGCAAAAGCGTCACCACTGCACAGAACATCGATGGAAACACAGACGGAGCCGAGACTCAAGGGAATAAAACTATTGTTCTTGAGAATATGTCCGACGGGTATGTCGTGCCAAAGAATTACAAATTCATTCTCAGCGCAAACAAAAAATTATGCTTCCTAGTGAAGAACGAGGAGAACCTCATTTACAGTGGAATCAATTCTGACATCATCGAAATTGTTTATAATGATAGTATGGACGGGAACGGAAAGAAGAGGAAGATTGAAAGGAGCGAGAAGGGCGAGAGGAGGAAGAAGAAGAAGGTGGAGAGCATACAAAGAATGGACAAATCGGACGGCGTGCCTTTCCTGTCGCAAAACCCGGCTCACTTCACGCTCGACGAAGTGGGCCTGCTGGAGAATCAACAGCCAAGCACGGCCACGTGCAGTAGTATGATCACCGCGCCGCCACCCAGCAACAGTAACGAGGTGGGTGGTAGGGCGATTGGTGACGAGGCGGCTGGTGATGAGCGGTTCTCCAATCTGGGTCATGACCCCCCTTCAGAAGCCTTTAATGCCTCCGCCACGGGTGAGTTCGACCCTCCCCTGCACGAAGGAAAGTCCGCCCATTGGCAAATTTTACACGCAAATGCAATGGGTAAACTGAAAAAAGGAAAAAGGGCTAACCTCCATATGGATAGCCCACTGCTCAAATTCAACAGTGAAGAGAAGACGCACCACCCCAGCGAGAGAAACGAAAGGAACTTACAGAACGGAGAACCCAGAAGGGTGCCATCAATCTGGGTGCCGCTAAAGGGAAGAAGAGACAAGATGGCCGCTGAATATAATTGCAACCTGAATTCTAACAGGGATTATTACAACTCCTTTGGTGAAAACGGCCAGATAGTGAACCTTCGAAGAAAGAGCAGCGCGAGTAGTAGCAAACGGGGGGAGGAAGAAGAAGAGCAGGAGGAGGATCCGGAGGAGGAAGAGGATGATGATGACGAAGAAGACGAAGAGGAGGAGGAGAATGACGAAGAAGTGGGGTCCCTTCTTCAGTTAAGCGAAGTGAGATCCCTTGTTGAGCTAAGCGAAGTGGGATCTCTTGCTCAGCTAAGCGAAGTGAAAGCCCACGATATACATAACGTGGATAGTAGGAGTAGCAGCGTGGTAGGGCTCTACCCTCAACCGAGCAACGACGGCGACGCGGTCAGGAGAGTCTCCTACTCGGGCTCGAATGACAGCATGAAGAACCCATTCGAAAATAGTGTTAAAATTGAGACCTCTGAAGAGAGTCTATACAAATGCTTCGAGTTTTTAAAAAATATAAACTGGAAGGACACAGGGAATGTCGAAGCAATTAGCAGTAAGAATGGTGTGCATCTGGATCCCATGCAGATTGGGAGGTATTCCGCTGCGCCTGTCACTTTGGAATGTAAGATGAAAAAACTCTCCAGAAAGAACAGCCTTCATAGTAACGAGGGCGTGTGTCTGCATAATGAGAAGCACGTGAAGAACGTGAAGAGGAAGGGAATCATCCCTGCAGGGAAGTCCAAGGGAGGGGGAGGCAAAGACAACAACTATCTTGTGGGGGAGATAGGCCCATGGGAAGGAGGGGTCTCTAGTGCAGTTGCCAGAGTGGGTTCCTTCGCAGTGGAAGAAGCATCAACGGGTCTCACAATTCATGGGAGGAACAAAGAGGAGAGAAATAATAACAGTAAGAGGGGCAAATCGGCAGTGAACCACACCTGGGTGAACGCCACGACGAAACGGAGACTCTCCAATGTGTTGACTTCGAATGGTATAGCGGAGGGAGCAGTAGCGGCAGTAGGTCCGGTAAGGGCAGTAGGTCCGGTAAGGGCAGTAGGAGCAATAGCGGCGGTAGGAGCGGTAGGAGGTGTAGCTGGTTCAGGTTCATGTGGAAGGGCTGCGGATCTGAAGATGGATTTCACCATTAAGCCGGAGTGTGAGAAAACGCTTAAAAGGAAAAAAACGTCAAACGCACAGGTGAGCGAAGAGGGACCCATAGTGCAGGCGAGATGGGGCAAAGGGGCTACCAATGGTAGCGAAGAGGTGTTGAGTGATGATAGGACTAACTCAATGATGGAGTCACAGTTTAGATCGGAAGCGATGATGCAAGTATGTGACCCTAATATGAGTGAAGTGCTAATGTGTGAGGCGCGGGGAAGCCAACAGCAGCAACCGAACGACGTCCTAATTAACAGCCAATATTTTGACACACAAAATTCATGGTTGCATCATAGTAAGGAATCGGGAGGACTCTTCATCGGGAGAAGTCCTCTAGCACATAGGGACGATATGAAGCAAGATAGGTTATGTTCCGGTGATCATTTTAACTTTATTCATTTTAACAACCGCAGCAGTGCAATCCCTTTGCAAGGAGAGGACCGTTGGGATGATATGAAATGGAATGGTGGAAATTCTTCCGTTGCGGATAACAGGGGTGGAGGGGACGACGACGACGAGGAGGAGGAGGAGCAGCAGGAGGCGGCGACAGCAGAACTGGCTGGGAAGCAACCATCGGAGAAACAACCATCGGAGAAGCAACCATCGGAGAAGCAACCATCGGAGAAGCAACCATCGGAGAAGCAACCATCGGAGAAGCAACCATCGGAG